AACCCTTTTAACATTTTGGAAATCTCTCAATGCCTGGTTATGTTACTAGGCCCAGGGCTGCCAGAGAACCAGAGGCATGCTTCGATGACTCCATTGCTGATGTGAACCATTCTTATACTCCCTTTGCCTAGGGTTTGATTATTTATTTTTATCTTAATATTTAAATTGGATTTTTATACATTATATATATTTATTGTTTTATATTTGTTGTTACGCTGCCCAGAGTTGCTTTTCATAAGACAATACATATTTGGTTAATAAATAAATTAAATAAATAAATAAATAAATGGATGTTGTGACTAAAAGAGCCTTTGCACAATTTCAGGTTGTGTACTAGTTACTCTCCTTCCTGGATCAGTAGGCTCACACTCAGTCACTCACACATAGTCATCTTCTGTATGGATTCCCATAATGTGCTCTGTATGGGGCTGCCCTTGAAGAGCATCTGGAAGTTTCAGGAAGCATTTGGAACTTTCAAAAGTTTTCATTTTGGTGCAAAATGCTTTGACACAGGCAGTTATGTGCGCACCTAGACCAATGCACATTACACCCTTGTTTTGTGAACTGTGTGCCGTCCAGACAGTTTAGAGTTAATGGGATTTGGATAGTTAGGTAGCAATTGTGTGCTGTCCCCTTAAGGGAATGCAGCATGGTAAATATAGTTAAGGTATCCTGGGAAATGTAGTCCATATCACGTGACCATATCTGTGATCCTGATTGGTCACTAAATTGACCCTCGATGGGTAGGAGGAGTTTTCCTCACTCTTGGCTGAACTCACGGACTTGTGGTAACTGTTCTATTTCTATCACCACAAGATAAGAGAAAAAGGATAGAAGATAATCATCTTTTTACCTACAAGACAGATTTGCAAAGGATTGGTCACTAAAGAAGAACTTTGTCACAAATGTGAATTATGAGGATACCCGATGAACCAATAAAAGTACTTTGTTATGGATGTTTTGTGGAGTTTATCTATCTGCATCTGTACAGAAGACAAATCTACCACTGTACAGAATACAGAACAAACTGCATTGGCTAACAATTTTTGATTCAGGAGATGATGACCGATAAAGTCCTACATGGTATCCAAAAATGTACTTTTTGTTCTTGGAGGAAAGTAGGCCTAAGGAATCTTAACCAGTAGCACTTTGCTCAGATCAATACAACTCTGAACACAGTCTTCTGGGCTCACAGATCCTGCTGATCCAAGCCATATGAGATTAAATGCTCGTGCAGAGTTAGCATATACGGCAATTTTGATAAGTCTGTTACTACATTTAGCTAATTAATACAGTTAACCAGCTTCAGCTTTTGTTTCCGCAAAGGGAGGTGGACTTAGAAGTGTTGATGAATCTGATCACAGTTTTTTTTAAAAAAATAAATTTTATTTGAGTTTTCACAAAGAGAAAAAAAAATACAAATAAAACATCTTTTTTGAAAGCAGCATAATCCCGGGTTACATTTCTTCGTACAGACACAAATTCAGGTTCATGCTCATTTTTATATTCTATTCCATATCTTATTACTATTTTACATTTTCTGCATAGCTTCTCCCCTCTTTTAATTTTCTCAATTTTATTTTAATTATCTCATCTCAATTCAAATCATTGCATTTATATTTTTGTCTGTCCTGTTTCAATTATCTATTATCTTTTCTCATTAAACAAAATTTCTCCTGTAGTTACTGATTGGAGTATGATGCCTTTATATCTTTTCCCTAAAGTTGTAACATTCAATATAATACATAACTTCCATTCGGATTCTGCTTGGTACATTCTTAAAATACACACTGTATTCTTTAAAAGAAAAAAGAAAAAAATTATAGATGTATATAATTAAAACAACATTCCATTCCAATTCAATTCTATCATTAATATTAATATTCATTAAAGTCTTAACATCTTTAACATTACTTTTCAATTAAATATCATACTTCTATGGGAACAATTATAAACTTTCCATAGTTAATTCCCTCCTCTCTTCACTTATATTTTATAAAACATTGACTAATTAAAATGTTCCCGTTCCTTCCTAATTCATTTTTCTCATTTATTTTATTTCACTTATTTTATTCACAAACATTTCACTAAATTACACTATTTTATCCCTCATTTTAATCATACATTGTTTCCAATTTTCTAAAGTTATTTCTATTACTAATATAACAATACAATCTTATGAACCTTTACAGAATCCCTTTTTCAGTTAGATTTTCACCCATTATCTCTAAATAGGTCCTGTTTCTCTATATCTTGCTCTGGTCCTTTGTAACTTCTTTTCCTTTCCTTCTTCCCTCTCTTCTTCTCTCTCCCCTTTTTACCCCCTTGTCTCTCTACCTCTATTTCTCTCTTCTGTATTCCCCTTTTCTGTTGCTTTCCAGTATTATACTTATTTTTTGAATTATTTTTCTTTTCTTTGGTTGTTTTTTTAAGTCTTAAATTCTCCATTCTCTTCCCCCCCTTTCCTTTTTCTTCCCCACATAGAATTACTTGTTCATTAAAGATGGCTTCTTCTTTGTCCCAGTCTTCTTGTTTTGCAGTCTTGTTGTTTCTCATAGTTCCAAATCTCCATTTCTAAGAATTGAAAAACGAAGCCAAAAGAACCCTTCCCTTCTTGTGCATCTTCTTTGTACTTTTTAAGTTCCATTTTCAATTCATCTAGAAGTGGTGCCATTGTATAAATTTTTAAACAACCACCCGATTGATTTTAATCATTCAAATATAATAACCAAAAATCCAAAAATCACCAAATAATCCAAATACACCGCAAGCTGTTTCTTTTTTGCTCTTTTTTTTCACTTTCTCTTCCTGAGGTTACTATTTAGTTGCAAAGTTTCAGTTAAAATGTATCTTTTAGAAGTCTTGTTGAAGTTTTACTTTAGATTCTTTTTAATACCAGGCAGTCTCCTCCCTCTTCCAGATCCTGCCCTTATTCTTTTTCTCTCCCTTCCTGCTTATGAAAAAGAAAGTTTTTAATGTCCAAAAATCTTTATTATCCCTTTGGCATTTTGTTTTATTTTCAGCTTAATTGCCTATTGATGTCAAAGTGGATTTTTCCGATTTCTTATTTAAGTCTCTTAGTTGTCAGTATAAGAAAGGAGAGAGAAGGAAAAAAAAAAGCCAAACCTTTCCCTTTTCACTTTCCTTCGCTGCTTCCGACTCTTCTTTGGGAGCAATGTTATTTTTTGTAAGTTTAAATTCCAGGGTACCTTGGTTGTTGCTTTTACAATTTAACCCGGTCAGCCAAAACTTTCACTTCTTATCTTCCTCCTGCACGTTCTTTTCCGGTCGAGTTCTTCTTTGTGGTGGCCATTTCTGACCACCGCTGCTACCGCCTTCGGGAAAGGGAGTAATGGCCAGCTGAGGAGGAGAGATGCAGCTCTCCTCGACTCTGCTGGCGGTCTCCCCCCTCTTCACCACCTCTACGGGGTGGCTTAGCCCCGAAACCAGCCAGCTCAGGGCGCTCCAGCGGCGAGCCCAGACAGAAACCGCGCACGATCGCAGATTTCTGTCTGTCGCCGAAGCCCTTCAAACCGGAAGTCCCAATCTGATCACAGTTTTGATACTTCAGCAACAGAGTGGTCAATGTCTGGAATACTCTACCTGACTCTGTGGTTTCTTCCCCAAACCCCAAAAACTTTTACCTTAGACTGTCTACTATTGATCTCCCCCTTTCCTAAGAGATCTGTAGGGGGCATGCATAAGCGCACCAACGTGCCTACTGTCCCTGTCCTATTGTTTCTTTTATTTTTCTTATATGTACTCATTTCATGTATTCATAACTATGTATATACTTATACCTATTATTTTGTAAGCAATTGACAAATCAAAATAAATAAATAAATAAATAAATAAATAAATAAATAAATGAAATATATGTTTCCTATGAAATAATATTTTAAAACTTTCATAAGAGTACAAGAAAATATTTTTCATACAGTTCCATCGAGATGAATTTAGAACCCCTTTTATTTAGGAACATTCCATTACATATAGGTAAGGTGGAATCATTGTCATATTACATCATGTCTGTCATGATTTAGTAGATGTTTCATTAATTTTCTTCTGATATTGTAAATTTAGGCTAATTTTTACTGATGGGTTGGAATATGTAAAGTATTACTTTTGCAATCTATAGAATATGTGCAATAAATAATGAGTGCAGCCAGCTTCACAATTTATCGTATAGGCGGAACATGGCCAGCAGCAAATACACACTTCTCCTGTGCCCATTGTCAAGAATTGTAGTCTTAATGTAAACTATTGATGATTTTACAAGTAGAAGTATTATTTGGCTACGTGCCCGAACTGAGGAACTGTGTTTGAAATTGTGTTTTTAACAGGCAGAAGAAAGATGACTATCTTTAATAGACTCAATCTGGGCATCGCTGTGGGCAGTTTTGCTATATTTCAACTTAGCTATCATGTGCTGAGTTCTTGGCTATCTTCACGCCTAACATCTGGTTTTAATAATCTTGACCAAAAGAAGAAAATTGAATGGAACACAAGGTACAGTTTTTAAACAACATTATACAATTATATATAAATATTTTAAAGTTTGAAATGTTTAGACTATTAGCTGTAGTGTGTTTGTTCAAACAATATCTGGATTGTTTAGGGCAGGGGTCCCCAACCACCGGTCCGTGGACCGGTCCCGGTCCGCGGAACAACTCCTACCGGGCCGCTGGCTTGCTGGGCGCCGCCATCTTTTTTTCATGAAAAAGTGCTTCCGGTGAGCTTTTCCGGGTAGAAAGCTCACCGAAAGCACGTTTTCATCAAAAAAAGATGGCGGCGCCCAGCTGATGCCGGTACCGGGCCGCGGCGCCCAGCTGATGCCGGTACCGGGCCGCGGCGTCAAAAAGGTTGGGGATCACTGGTTTAGGGGATTTCCTTTAGAAAAAATGTAGTTGGGATTTGTGTTAAATAGTCTTTAAGGCAAAATTGTCCTTGGGTAATTTATGTAAAAGTTATCTATTTATTAAAATAAAGATAAATTGAATGAATACCTGTTAATCTTTCATTATTTTTACTGATCATTTTTTTTAAATGATTAAAAATGGTTAAATGGTAATGTATAATATTCAGAGTACATTGTTTTGTAAAAAATAGCAATCTTAATATAAATTATGTCTTAATCTAAGTTCAAAGTACATTCTATCTAGGATATTCATAAAATATGATATCCTGTTTAACTTCGTGAACTAGTCACAACATACTAATTATTTTTTAACATGATTAATGTATCACCTATTCTATAAATTCATGAAACAATGTGTATTCTATGCTCTGCAGAAGTTCCTTGCATGTAGTGTTGATTACATGTTATCTAACATTTATTTGTTTGTTTGTTTGATTGGTTGATTTTTGTCCCATCTTTATCATTGCCACATCAAATGGTGAACATGCATAATGCTCCTTCTCCCTCCTCTTTTTCCCCATAACAACAAATATCTTGTTGACTAAATGCAGAACTTACTCAGAAAATATTATTTAGTATGTTGGTATCAATGTAGAATATATGAGGCATGCAGATTCATTTCAAATGGTTTCAAGTTCAATACTTTATGAAATGCTAAACAAATAATTTCAAGGAAATGCTCAAAAGTGCCCAGTTCAGGTAGTTGCACAGAATAAAATAAAACTTTATTGATTTAGTTGTTTGACCATATCTAAAAATATAAAACTAATACAAATATACAGGTGGACACAAAGGAAACAAGAAGATACGTTCATAGTAAGTCATCACTTCAACAGTTAAACCAAACTGATCTAAATATTCCGTCTCCTCCAAAATGGCCTTTGAAATAAAGAGGGCAGTGATATGCAGGTTAGTTCTTTGCAAAAAAGCAAGGCAGCTTCTCCCAGGTGCCCTAGTATTTTTTTTTTTTTTAGTTTTTAAACAAGAATCTAAGCAATCTTTTCTGCAAAGTACAGTTTGAGGAGATCCTTGGTGGTCTCTGAGCTTGCTTGTTTTCTTGCAAATGTTTCATTTCCCTAACTAGGTAACATCATCAATGCTAATAAGGAGTGCTGTTTGCTGTCAGTTTATATTCTGTTTCTTGCCTACCTATGTTGAGCCATACAAGCGGTAAAATATTTTGCCAACTGGCAGGCTGATTTATGTTGAACCAGCCATTTCAAAGACTTGACATACCTAAATTTCACAGTGTTTCATGCCTGATCAAAAGGAAATGTTTTGCACATCCCTATTGTGCAAGCATTTAATAGAGCACAAAAGGACAATTCCTGACTTAAAGGAGTTTATAGTCTAAATTTGGCTAATGATTTATTGCTGCATATGCTGTATATATTTTATTGGAGAACGATTACATTTGTTTGTGAAATTTATTTCAAAAAATAATAGCCTGTGCATCTGAGAGAATATAGGAATGCTCTGCATTTTTCTCTCTGACTTGGAATGAAGTCAAATGAATAGATACGGGGAGACTTGTTTTTCCTCAGACATTTTTTATTTTATTCAGACAGACCACATGGCAAACTATAAAGTTTTTATATTACATTAGATTTTACAATGATTGTTTCTATATTAAAAAGCCAGAAAGCTGAGTTTCCGGTTTGTCGGCTTCGCGAGCGGCAGGGATTTGCGAAGCTGCGCGATCCCTGCTGCGCTAGCCGTTTTTGGGGCTCCGACCCAGACGGGTACGGAGCTAGGCTGCCCTGCAGGGGCAGCTGAAGGTAGGGGGGATCCGGAGAAGGGTTTGGGGGTGTTGCAGACCCCCTCCCCGGCCGGCAGAACCCCCTTTTCCCAGGACGGTGCAGCGGCGGTCCGTAATGGCCGCCACAAAGAAGCTGGCAGCCGGGTAAGAATGCGCAGGAGGAAGTGGAGAAAGTGCTTGAGAGGAGAAAGTTTTTCTTGGTTCCTAGGACTCTAAGATATATTTGACAAAATTCCTGAAAAGTATGACTTTCTGAATGATACCTTCGAGAAGAGGAAAAAAGCGGCAGTTTAATGGTGCTGAAAGGATAGCTTACCCTCTTTTTTTACGGAATAAAAAGTGAATATTAAGAAACCTATTTTTTTTTAGGTGAAAACTGGCTTTAAGCGATGAGTGGGAAAAGAGAGGACTAAAAAAAATATATTTGTATGCTAAGACTTTGTTGGAGGAGATGCCTTAAGGATTGAAAGACTAAAATATATTGCAATAAGATTTTAAGAAACAGATTTGGACTTTCTTTTTCTCTGATTGATACTACCCTAGGAGGAGAGAGTGGGAACTCTGTCTTGGTTTGGACTGACTGATAACTTTGGGATTGCCTTATTTTTCCTTTGGAATATTCTGACTGTTGTAAGAGAAAAGAGAAGAAAAGATTTATAATGGCTTCTTCTATCGAGGAACTGAGAAAAGATTATGAGCAAGCAAAACAAAATGGTAAAGCTGGTTTGAAAGAAGCCTGTCTTTTTTTGGAAATGGCGTTTATTAACTATCAACAAACATTGCAACAGATGAAGACAGCAGGAGAAGAACAAAGAGAGGAAGCCATCTTTAATAAATCTCAGAACTCGACCAAGAGGGAAGGAAGAGGGAAAAGAAGAGAAATAAAGGACTTAAGATTTAAAAAAACATTTAAGAAAGGGAAAAACAATGTGCAAAATCAATATAAGGATGGTAAACAAAAGGGAAGAGGAATACGACAGAGAAGGGAAGCCAGTAAGGCAGAGGCTAGAAGAAGGCGGGGTAGAAAGGTTTGTTGGGAGAAGAAAGAAAGGGAAAAGGTGGAGAAAAGTTACAAAGTTTTGAAATTAAATGGAAAAAAAGAAATTTTTTTTAGGGATAAAGGATAAGTATAATTTTTTCAAAGAGATTTTGCAAGGTACATAAGATGATATTGTAGTATTGTATCAGAAATAGAAAATTTAAATGGCTTGAGAGTTGATAAGAGATTAAAATGTTGAAATGTTAATAATGATTGGTTGAAAATATAATATGAGGGGAGATTTAGAATATTAAACTTTAATTAAAGAGTTTAATAAGATTATGGTATTGATGTTATTATAAAACTTTCATTATAGTATTTTGTTTTTAATATTTAGATCTATTGTTTAACTATGTATTTAATTGTTTTGGATGTATTATTCAGTTAGAATGTACCAAGCAAAATCGGATTGGATATTTTAAAGATTAATTTGATTAATTTAGTGGGGAGATAGAAAGGCATCATACTCTGATTAGTGATTTCAGGAGAAATTTCTTTTTTTTAAAAGGATTGAGACAAAGGTACAATAGAGAATGGACAAAAGATATAAATATAATGACTCAAATTAAGATGATTAATTAAGATAGAATTAAGAAGAGTGAGATATGTGGAGAAGTTAATATAGAAGACTTAGAATGGTAAATAAAATAAGTAATGATATGTAAGATGAGCATGAATATAATTGAAGTCCATGAAAAGAGAGATACCTGGGTCCAAGTTACTTTCCAAAAAGATCCTTTTTATGTTTTGTGTGTTGTGTGTATATGTTGTTGTTTTTTTTGGGGAGAATTAATAAAACCTTGTAGAAATATAGAATGAGAATAATGGTAACTAAGTCAGAAAAAAATAGATGAAATAATAATAATAAAATTGAATAAGAGTAAAGAGAAATAAGGGGAAATTGGATAAGAGGTTTTTGTATGTTTATATGGAAATGGTTTAAAACAGAATTATAGTTTATCTGACTTGTTAAATTTATAATGGAAAAAGGTTAAACATGTAATGGATAATGATGACTTGTGTGTTTTGAAAATTAATAAAACTTGTTTTTTTTTAAAAAAAAAAAAAAAGCCAGAAAGCTAACAGCAAGGTAATACACCAAGCAAAAATGATTTCTTGAAATAATAGAAAATAGAAATGTTGTAATTCAGGAAAAGATACTTTTCCCTGTAAGCAAATAAGGGCTCTATATTAAAATCTGTTCCATAGCATAGAATTCTCCTCCTTATTTCAGCCAACAGACGTGCCCAGAAAGTTCAATATTGTTGAACTTTTGGAAAAGTGAGGATATTTTCTGGCAACCTAATATAGGTTAGTTCGTTCTATTGTGTTCCCTGTAGCTGCCTATGGTTGTAAAAGTTTTAAAAAGTAAGTCAGGAAAAAAATGACTTGTTTCAACTGTGGTGCTAAAGAAAGCTCCTGCATATTCTTTGGACAGCAAAGATGACTAACAAGCAAGTACTGGAATGCATAACACCAGACATGTCACCAGAAGGCAAAATCACGAAACTGCGTCTTACTTTGGCCTGGTCATGTGGGGGAATTCATTGGAGAAAACAATTCATGTTTGGAAGAGTTAGTGGTAAAACTAGGCTGTCAAAGAACACATTGGTTGGACACCATTGAAGCTGACACCGGCCAGAACATAGAAAAACTCAAAGAAATAGTGCAAGATCGGAAGATGTGAGAGACTTGTCAGCCTTGGAAGCCATTTTCTCCTTTGGAGCTTCGATTAGCCATAACAACATTCTTTTCTCTGGGAGTCAAGGACGATTACCCTGCACCTGGAGGGGAGTGACTGGGGGTAGTCTTCAATTGGGATGAAGATATGATTGGACCATGTGATGGACTTGTGGGTGTAGGGGATGAATTCTTGACTTTCTTTTGGGTGGAGGAAAAACCCGGAACTCTCAGATTCGGGTTTTCCCAGATGTGCCGATATGATATCTCTAATAAAATGCTAGCCTCGGAGTCTTTGTTCGTGGAGGTTGTTACTTGGAACACTGACAAGACTTGGCCTACAGAATTGTCAAGAGCTGGATTCAACTGAACGGATAACATCATCATAATTTTGGATCATTGTAGATTCCAGGTATAATTAAGAAAAACATGTGCATCATAAAGCAGTTGATCCAGAATCATAGTAACAATTGGTCGGTATATCTCAAAATGTAACAATAAATTTGGCAAGGCAAAAGCTATATGGAGCAAATGTCTATGGAGATTCTCAGTCATCCAGGTCATGGTTGTCTCAAAGGTGCTTTTTAAAGAAGCAACTGAACTTTCTGGTTTTTTTTTTGAAGATGTTTCATTTCTCATCCAAGAAGCTTCTTCCAGAGCTGAAGAAGCTTCTTGGATGAGAAGCAAAATGTCTTCAAAGAAAAATCAGAAAGTCCAGTTGCCTCTTGAAAACATATGGAACAAAGTTTCAATTACAGAGTTACAACTTGTAACTTGTAACTAATTGTAATCAACCCACATTATTTTTAATGAGCTATCCAGTACATAAGAAATATTTAAATTGCACAAATCTCATTTGAAGATCGTGGGAAGTTATTTGTTTTTTTCATTATTGTGCCATCAAATTAAAGGTAGCATATACTTAATGGGATTGCTTTTGTCTTTTAGGACAGTATCTACGTTCCATGCCTTGGTGGTTGAAATATTTTGTGTGTATATTTTATTGTATGATGAAGCTATTAATGCTGACCGTGTTTGGTAAGAAATATCTTGGTTTGTAAATCTCATTTTCTCTGTCCTTTATTATTTCTTTTGCTGGTCAAATTACCTTTATGTTTAATAGAATAGAATACTTTTATTGGCTAAGTGTGATTGGACACACAAGGAATTTGTCTTGGTGTAAATACTCTCAGTATATATAAAGAAAAGATACATTCGTTAAGAATCAAGAATCATAACGTACAACACTTAATGATAGTCATAGGGTACAATCAACAATCAAATCATACTAGGAAACAGTCAATATAAATCGTAAGGATACAAGTGACAAAGTTACTGTCCTACAATCACAAGTGGGAGGGGATTGGTGATAAGGAGTGATGAGAAGATTAACAGTAATAGTAGTGCACACTTTATAAATAGTTGAACAGTGTTGAGGGAATTATTTGTTTAGCAGAGTGATGGCTTTCAGGAAGAAACTGTTCTTGTGTCTAGTTGTTCTGGTGTGCAGTGCTCTATAGGATTTAAAAATGTTTATGTTTAAAAAAACATAAAGAGAGATATATTTATTTGCTACCCAAATCTTTCTAAAATTACAGTTTATTTAACTATAACATGGAGGAAACCTGGACTTTTGCTTCATTTAAACAAAAAAACAACAATCTGAGGCAGCCTGTCCCCCAACTATTACTATATGCAGGTAGTTCTGACTTACGACTATAAATGGCATCTGCCCATTATAATAGTAGTTCATGGTGAGAAAAAAACAGGTTATCACATGACCAGTCTGATTTTACCACTTTTTTGTGGCAGTGATTAAGTGAATTACCAGAGATCATTAAATGAATTCACAATTGTTAAGCAAACTTGTTGTTTGCTATGGGCCATTTTTGCTGAAAACCAGAAGCAATGTTTTTCAGTAAAACTCGCGTAAATCAAGGTCAAGTGACTTTGGGCTGATTCAAATAGTCTTCAGTGTGGACCAATTGCTGAGCACCCAAAATATGGTCAGGTGACCACGGAGGGGACGATTGTTGGAAATTTGGAACCAGGTCAGTAGTACTTTTTGGAGGGGATCCATTGTAACTTTGAATGGTCTCTAAGTGACCAGTCGTAAATTGAGGATTACCTTTACTCACCTCCTTTGGATCACTTCTTATGCTGGAATGGAAATATTTTTCCTCCTTCATTGAAACTGAGATAGAGCAAAGGTGGAGGAAGTTAGAAACCTAATTAGATGAATAATGGCTCATCCTCTCAATTTTTTGTCTTCAGAATATTATTATTAATCTTCTTAAATATGTCTGTGCGGAAGCTTTTCTCTTGCCTGTTTGCCATTTACCAGAGTTGTAGGATCATCTTACCAGATGTGGTGTCTGTCTTCCAACATCAAAAAAAGTGAATCATCATATGTGGGGGGAAAAATAAATATAAGCAAAATGTAAAATATTTACGGTGTGTTAAATTTAACATAATGTAATTCCTTTGATGTTTTTGTTTATAGGGGCGATCCTTCTACAGTGCAACTAAACCTTGCTATCACTGTAGGCTACCTCATTTCAGGTAATGTGTAAAATATTATGTGTATAATTTATTGTAAGCCATCTATTTTGAAAGAACCTTTTAACGGAAAGTTTACCAATTGTGCTGTAAAAATGTGATTATTTTATTTCATAACATGACAGTATTGTGTTAAGTATCAAAATATTTCCTTCTGTCAATTTCTCATTCTCAAGCTTGAGTAACAATAATTACTTTTCCCCCAATTTTTCTTCCTGCTACCATGGTACTACCTCTAATTTGGTATCAATAACTTAATAACCATAGAATAGAATATTTTCCCAAGGGAAAATAAACAAGGCCTGTTCAAGGAGGGACACTTAGTTTCCTAATTACATGTCTTCCTCTTGAGTTCTCCTTGAGATGGATATTGATTAATCAGTGGGAAACATATTGTTTCGTTTTGAAATTTCAACTTCTTCATCACTGGTCCTCAGTTTTAAAAGGCTACTTCAGGACGTGCATGAATACAGTATACATCCTGCATGTCTTTAATAAAAACTCAAATATTTCTCAACATAAGGTGGGAGGAGATTGCTATAGTTTGAAACATTAGCCAACTTCATGACTAGATTTGAAAATAACTTTCTATGGTGAGGCAAATCTGATATTTACCGTATATACTCGAGTATAAGTCGACCCGAATATAAGCCGAGGCACCTAATTTTACACAAAAAACTGGGAAAACTTATTGACTCGAGTATAAGCCGAGGGTGGGAAATGCAGCAGCTACTGGGAAATTTCAAAAATAAAAATAATTAATTTGGGAAACGATCTCACTATCTCACGTCGCCTCGGGAAGGGAAAGGCAAAGCGCTTTTTGCCTTTCCCTTCCCGGCTGGGGCTGTTGGGAGTCGCCGCCGCCTGC